CGCGAAAAGCCAGCATACAATGAGGATAGCACTTAAATCAAATAGAAACGGTTGAGCGATGGGCCGATTGTGTACTGGTGTAACGCTGGGCTTTGAGGATTCGGTCTGTGCAGAAGGCGTGAGTTCGATTTCGCGTTGGCCCAAAATCTTGGACATATTTTGATCTCATTCGACAGATAATCAAGGGGGCGTAGTTGCGACAATGATTGTGAATAATTTTTTGATGACGTTTCATGCAAATATGATTATTATAGGCTGCGCATAATCGTATTTGCATATTTCCGGATGATTTATTCAGGAAAATGAGACAGCTCGATAGTATTGGTCAAGATTTTCGAGACGGACGCATGAGCAAGTTTCATTTAGTTTTATCTTGATTGTTCGCTCACGAACATAGCAATAAGTTCAAATTTGTACACATTTTGTTCATTGTTCTTCAGATACAGAAGAAATCGACGAATTGGATGTGATGAAATTTTGAAGCGATCTTATGTAGATATATATTCCAGATCAAAGTATTATCGATGGCATTGATGTTTCCATTGAAATTCCGCGTTTAGATGGTGGACCTTTGTTATGGGATATTATTCATCGCATGGAGCATAAGGTCATCTCAGTTTGAAATTTCCCTAACAATTCAACAACTGAACAGTCAGTGCCTACTGAACAACTAACCCAGAGACATGCAAAATAGCTTTTCGATACCGAAGAAGAATTGCATTGTGGAAGAGTTTGCAGTTTTTGAAGGGCTATTTCAAACAGAAAATTTCTGAACTAAATTACTCCATCAAAAAATAAACTCTCACTTTGATATGAGATGACTTCAACGACATGCTTATATGAGGGTGTAAATAAACCTAAACATTTTCAATTGTTGAATGGCGAATATGAAAATAAATTTTAGGTGTTGTGTTCAGATCCATTGCATACAGAACATTCCGTTTGTCGATGGATGAAGCATTTGAAATATTTTGCTTATTCAGCGGTAATTTCTTCAGGATATCACAATTTTTAGTCAGCAAAAGGCTCGAAATTGCTTTCAGTGGTTTTATAAGTTCAATCACTGGCATATTTGTTTTAAAAGAATATGAAAGATTTGCAATTCTTGACAACACAAATTTTTGCTCCTTTCCTAAATAACTGCACTATGTGAGAGATTCACTGAAGGATTGAAGTGCAATTTCAGCATGACAATACACTACAGTCCTTGCTGGCAACATTCGATGCTCGCAAAAGGTTATATCCGAGTGGAGGAATACCACAATTCGCAGCTGCGATGGCTATTGAATTATGGAGAACTCCGAGCAATGACTTCACTGTTAAGGTACATGGAATCGTATTCTTGTGATTACATACATGAATTTATCATTAATCAATGCTTTTAACCGTTTCGAAGGTCGATCTCATGGCTCACGTTTACTTTAACTTAATTCGATCCAATCAGTTTATACCCTTCAACTCTTTAACTTAACTCGATTCATTTCATTCATTCGTTACTAAAAAGTGTCACCATCTGTGGGAATCGAATATGCGAGCTTACACTC